CACCGAACCATTAAATCGGACCGTACTGTATTAATTCATACAGTGATTAACTCGTTTAGGACAATTACAGACCAAATTTTTATTCCTTACAGTAGGTCGGTCTTGTCTATAAATCTTAATCCGTAAAAATATTTTTATTTAGTCCATAGAAAAATTGAAATACCGCTTATCTTAACGGACGTCTCAAAAACTGGACGAAACGTTCTTGAAGACTAGGGCCTCGTTCCACAAAAAGTCTTACGATAAGAATTTGTCGTTAATATAGAATTTAACATTGAGAAAAACCACACTTACGACAAAATTGATCGTGACATATTTTGTGGAACGAGACCTTGTTTTTTTACAGACGTCACGAAGCTTCGTTTCAAAAATGTTTTTACTGTTTGCAGACCATGTAATTCTTATAATGGTTAAAGTTGTGTATGTGTCAATAGATCATATTAAATATTCCATGAAAATATTTATCCTGAAATGAAGATTGACTTAAAAAAGATTATTCCAAGTCTTCTCCAAATTTCTAATTTCTAAATTAGAAATGGCTGTACTTCTAAAGAGTATTATGCTGATCTCTATTCTCTATTCTCATCTCCCTATAAGACAAATATCAGAGGGCATCACTGTATGGATCAAAATAGTTCTGAGACCTACTAAAACTGTTCACTGTTCAGATACAATCGTTAGAAGAAATATTATGTGTGGCCATATTAAAATACACCTCAAAACAATAAAACCATGGTCAATTACACATCATACCACACACTGAAATACATAAAACGGACACAGGAAAGATAAACCAATGTCTTCATTGAATTAGGCACTTGAATTTAATCACATCTAAACAGGCTAAAGATTCTCAATTCTGTCTCAATTAACAATGGATGTCATGAAGCGATACTCCATTGATCATCCTTTAGAATGGTTTTATACAAATCTTCTGACAAATGCTCAAACGAAACGAAGTATTTTTGCTGGATTCACAATCATTAGTGCCTTTATCAAATTTCTTTCACGCGCTTCATTGCTATTCGTTCTCTATTCTTCACATTCCGTTTAACGAGCGTTTTATGACCAAATTAATTTGCTTCTCGTGATCGCTCATATAATTTCTTCGTCGGTATTAATCAAATTAGGGATTTCCGATTGGTCCGGAATATAAATCGAAACGAAATCAGACTTTAAAGTATTTAGTTTGTCCTAATTAAGATTAAATATCAAATGAGTTAATTTATTGACAAAAGGGGCAGCCATAATGGATGGCTAAAAACGAGATTTGTATCGGCTATGAACAATAATAATGACCGTCTAATAACTGGATTTGTATCTTCAATCAGATAATATTAAAGATAATCAGCTAGAAATTAAGCTTCCCATTTGTTTTCGTCACCGATCTTGACATTTTTCCAGTTTTTAATAATTTCATTTACATAATCATGTTCATATTCTTGTAGAAAATTGATCAGGCGAATATTAATAAAAATATTTTCTCCGTGTTCTATTTTCTATCAATATTCTTCACGATTCCAAATTGAATGTTTTCTCTTACAAAATTTCCCGCAGTTTTAATAACTGCGACATTCGGATAAAGAAGAAAGATACTCTTGAGTTTTATGCACATTAAATTGATATCAGTGGCTGTACAGAAAAAGAAATGGCCTGTTTAAGCCGTCAAAACTAGAGATATATATTACTGGCAACGAAATCGTCTTTCTTTTTCACAAAAACACGAGTGCCCAAAGTGTAGTCAAATCGTTACAGATTGAATAAGTGGACACAGTTAGATACCATTAAGGCCTGATTTAATATATAACTTCGACTATGATACTTCCGTCTTTATCAAGCAATGGTGACATAATACTAGAAACTCTATTATATTCAAATTATGAGAAAATAGGTTTTATTCTCTCAGACGAGATATTAATAATATATGTGACGTAAATAATGGATGGATATTAATTTATGTTGAACAGAAGTCGATTTGAGTCAATAAGCTCGCCATAAAGATTACAGAATATCAGATAAATCACTAGCCTACTGTTTAATACTGGAGAAAGTCTAACATGAAAAATAATACAACACCAGCCAAAACAAACAATTTCGCTCCGGTTTAGGTGGTTGCTGGGATTCCTCAATTTTACGTTATCACACGAAATTCAAGATGGCGACCATTCATTGAAATCTCGTTGTCTGTGCATGATAAATTGAATCACCTTTATATCGCTTATCTATGAGATTTGATGGTCTTTTAAAGAATTTGGCTAATAAAATATGATATTTTATCAGACGTATAGACAGGGTTAAGATTTACGACAGGTGAATTCTACGGTTTCCTGTATAACAATGCATTGTACACAGGTCGGCATCTTCACAATGTCAAGCTATTACAAACCTTGACTGCAATAGCCACCTTTCTTGTATCACATAAGTTATTAAATTCGAAGATTTGATTGCATTTTACTCTACCGAATACAGCCAAGAAAAGCCCTCGACAAAAAGTATGTGAACAATAAACCATAATGCGCACACACAGTCTTAATGTCCAGGGCTCTGATTGGCTGTATTTGCTAGTGTACAATCAAATTAAATCGCTGCATTCTACGATACAAAAAGGTGGCTATTGCAGTCAAGGTATTAAACGTAGTTCATATTAGCTTGACATTGTGAAGATGACGGGTCGGAGGGCAGGTATATTTATCTCAGCCAATGTATATTACATAAATTATGTCCTAATAAATAAGATAAGTGAATAGAATAGCTGAATAGTTAATCAAATGATCGTTTGTTGAATTGGAGTCAACTACAGTACAGTAAAGGTAGCCCTTCTATTTGGCATTCCCGTTAGATGCCAGCGTGTAGTCCATTCCAAGAAGTTCGCAGTGTTTCATTGCAAGAGTTATCACAAAACCCATCTTCGTTACTGAAACATTCTGATATATAGGCTGGTGATTGAATCCCTTCTTTATCAAATTCATATATTTATTTCTTCGGTTATATGACTATGCTGCTAAGTGGGGAATGACCTCTATTAGCAAGGAAAAAACAAGAAATGAGATGAATTCAAATCTCTTATTTTGGAATTAAAAAAAAATTGTTAGATTCTGGACCCCTCCAACACATAAACCTAATCACAAAACTGTAAGCAACAGCAACATAATAAACACTGTACAACAACGATCGCCCGCATAGTTGTAAGACAATGGAGAAGAAACAATGACACATTTGCTACAGGCATCCAAATGTTTGAGGAATTTTACAGTCCCTTTTTATAAATGTGTTGTGAATATTTGAAATATTTGGAAGAAGTAGTCGATATTATATTTGATGATATTACAAGGTCTGATGTGGTGTATATTGATGTAAGCTAATGTTTATTTTAGATAAGGTTATTAGCCATATACCAATTTAACATTCGGACTGTTCTGTAACTTGTAACCCTACCAATAGTCACTGATAGTCACTGATAATCTCAATGATATGAAAGTAGCCGCCTGGTGACAATGGATTTCCATTTCATAATAACGAAATACATAATTTCCGATAGAATGAAAGCATAGTAAATTCAGGCAACTTGTTTGCATCTTGCAGTAGGTAATTGTGTATTTTCTGATAGATTGAAAGGACAAAACCTATGTTGATATGATTTTATACATATGGGAAATTCAAGCCACCCTTTTTTTGAGTATGCAGTGACTAATTGAAAATTATCTAGTACATATTCTTATATTCATACGTATCCTTTTTAGATGTCGGGCAAAACTATTTATGCACCGTTTTCAAGACCACCGTTTTGTACATATGGACCAGGAGTTAAAACTAAATGAAGATGCTCGGACGTTGGTTTTTGTCTGCATTGTTGATCATGAAATATTTCAAATTCAAAGTGAATCGACTGACAGCTGTACATTTTGCCATGCACCACTCATGGCCCGAATAAATTACTTACAAAGGGCACCATAAGCACTCCAAAAGGTCTCTTTAGATGGAAATAACAAAATGAAAAAATATATTCTAGGATTGTTATTATTATTATTATTATTAACAAAAAGACAGGACAAAAACAAAAGAGTTGGAACCACAAACTTGTACATACATTATAATATATATATTCACTATGTAACAATTGGCGAGAAAATGGCAAACCCGGTTCCACTTTGACTATTGAGAAACCGCTTTAGACATCTACTCTATAATATCATTCTCCTGGATTCTAAATACAATCCATTCTGGCCCATCCTACGCTGATGAAGCGCATGGTGAAAAGTGACAATGTTGGAAGGCTATTTGGTGAAGCTATCGTCAAGGATCATTTATCTCCACTCGACCCACCATGTGAAATGCATTCATTTAGCTCTGTAACTCTGAGTGAATCTAGTTTTGCTAGTGACAGTGGTCACCGATACACAAACAGAGGTGAAAACATTTTGGAAACATGATCCAACAAGAGTCAAGTATATTGATGTAGTTCTGGAACTTTCGTGGGTCACTCGAGTCTTGCTGTAATATAGATACAGAGACCTTAGATGACACAGATACAAAAGCAGGGCTTTGCACTTCTAGAAACAGCCTTTCTGAAAGCTTTCACCAAGCATTAACCACCAATAAGCGAGGATTGGGTCCAAATGAACATTTTCTTATTATATGATAATAATCTATAGTTTTAACGACTCAATGCAGCACTAATATAGTAAAGTTTGAAGTCGACTTGGCACTTAGCAAAACAAACGTTTGCCTATTGTTAATCCACGCTCTCCATTGAAATGAACGATGAGATCCGAATTGAGATCCAATGATTAAAATGAACTCTAACACCCGAATGAATATAAATACTTTAGAATTGGTGAGATCTCTTCTAACGTCATGCGTCTAAAGTTAAAATTGTCCACCACAATTTCACTTCCGGTTTCTGAAACAGTTTTGATGTGACTGGACAACACATCACTTCCGCTTTCCTTTAAGGTGGAAGTTCTGATAATATTAGTCTATGATCGGTTGAAGTTGAAATTTCAGGGTCCTAATCCTTCAAGTCCACATAAACTATTTCCGTCGTCTGCGTTATCGTCTTCGCCGTCTGAAGGGATATCTTCCATGTCTTCTGCTTGTTCTTGCTTCTTTTTGGCGGTAGCCATTTCTGCTGCGTGACGTTTTCTCCATTTTGTTCGTCTGTTCTGGAACCAAACCTGAAGAGAGAAAGAATAATTCCATATTAAGAGAGGGAATAAATAATCTATAGATTAAAACCATGACTCTTATGATTCTTGTAAAATAACTTAGGCTAATGAATAGTCAAGCAGATGCAAATGCCGGAAGTTGATTAAACTACATAATAACATGCATTAAGACACGATACGTCCCTCCCAGTTTGAGTCGTCAATTTCAGCAGCCATACTAACGTATAGGAATCAAAGAACAAATTCCTGATTGTCTGCTAATAGTTTCAGATAAACTTCAGTTTAGTAGAATGTTTTGTGAGTAAAATTTAAGTAGTCTATAAAGCTAGTTTGGTTGTTTATTATAATAACATATAATATCAGTCAGTGACTATCATATATAACACCCTTACATCTGATAGCAGAGTATTCTATTTTAACACCGACATACAGACAACTGGAACACTATAAATTATCATCAGCCCTTTGTCTTTTACCTTGTCTCTCAATTATTCTAACCTAAATGATATTTATTTAGTGATTTTACAGACTTGACGAAATATTTGTAGAACTAATGCGAGGGAAAGTGCACGTGATGTTTCCCTCCACTTGGGTGTTCCTGAAAATACTTTCTGAACGATGGAAGATTGCATAAGAAACAGGCGTTGAAAAGACATTATTGTAGTCTCGATTATTAACTTATTTTTTCGAAGCTAACGCGATGAGTTCATTTTTATGCAACGTCTTTACTATGTCGTAAGATAACCCAATCAGTGTTTTAAAAGGAAGTTGTTATCAACCTTCAACAAATATTCGAGGAAGAGATCAAGGGAGATTTTTAAAAGCTGTTTATGTTTTGTATTTTTGATAAATGTCTATCACTTGTAAACATTTGATAATAGTAATGCAATGAAATGGAATAATGGCGATATTTAAACTGTTTACGTTAAGTAATTGCGTTTTATATAAATGATACAATTTATTCAATTACCAAATGGCCACTTTGAAACGTTTAATTGAATAATTATATTCACTCAAAGATAGAATATAGTGAGCAATTTAGCAAATTAAAAAAAACATGCCAGAATCTTAACAATATTATATTAAAAAAAAATATTTTTGCAAACTTTTCTGTGGAAAGGTCTTGGGTTGAACAAATATTTTATGTGTCGATATCTACAAATTTACAACAAAAACTCGTCAAAAATCCCAACTATACAATCAAACTATTTATTCTACCAAACAATAGACCAATAAAATTTTAATTTGTTTTGAAAATAGTCATTAATATTATTAATGTGTTAGAAAATTCTCTAGTTTAGTTTTAATGTCCATTATTATTAACAATCCTTAGAAACAAACAAACTTCACCGCGATAACTTGTTACAAATATTTCGTTTGAAGTCTGTTTTAAGTTAAAGTTAGTTTATAGGATTGTAAGTCTTGTTAATAGAAAATAAAACACTGGGTCGCTGTATTAAAATTTATTAATTGTCTTTTTATTTCATTACTAATAGTTTTAATATTCATACGCGTGCTGAACTTATAAGGTATCCTTTATAGCGTTTTTAACTTAAAGAAAGTGGCTTACATTTGCTACCGAGGATAATAGGCTATATACAGTATCTTTAAGTTGTTTCAATCTGATCAACGGTTTAAGAAATATAATCTATATGGAAAAAATTTCCACACTCATTTCTATGAATAGAAATTATTTTTTTCTCTCCAAAATTTCAAATATTATTTCCATTATTTCCAGCACCAAGTGAATCCAGAAAACAGTGCCCGTGGAATCGGGGGTTATTCTTGCCTTGAGGGTGGATATAAGATTTTATTTTTAATTTGAAAAGTAACCTCGTCAACTGGTCAAACGAGTTATAAATAAATTAATTCTGAAATAATTTAATATGAAAATAAATAACTATATTAATATCATATTTAATATTTATGATTGAAGTAGGCGCCAAATGTAGGACCTTTATCCTTAGCTATTTGTACCTTTAATTAGTGAATAATAATTTTATACTCGTACTGACCTAGTCACTCTAGACTCAATTAAAAACTTGACTATAACTCTACTCGACTTCTATTTATAAACAAAAAATATTCAATTCTAGACAATAAAAGGTGTGATCTTAATTTGACCTGGCTTTCATTTTACTCATTTGTTTTTGATAAGATATATTTATTGATATAGAAACATTAGACCTCACATAAGCAAAACTAATAATTTCTGAATATATATTTATGTGTTATCTAGGTGAATATGTTCATTATATTACTGTAGGTAATTAAAATTCAGTAAGGCAAAGGATTAAGCTAATTATAGACAGGTTTAAAAGCAGAATAGGGCTGTCTGAAAATAGCATAGGGTGGAACTCGGAGTAACAACATATTTTACTTCTATAATAGTGTCGCCTTATTTTTTCCGTACGTCTTCAAATTGACATTCACAAATGTATTAATTAGGATTAAAAAATATAGCCAATTGTCTGCAAGTCATATATAAAAAACCCCAAAAGTTTCAAGCCAAATTGCAGTATACCAAAAAGTGTTTCGGAAGAATAAACATCCCTGATTCACCACCGACATTAGACACGTCGATATCTGTATGATATCAGTATTTTTCTAAAATCTATTTCAAATTTCAGTGGTTTTCATATCATTCATTACTAATACAAACACTTTCTTTATGATACAATAAAACATGGGGAACGGTGATGAGGCCACCCATTTAACTTGCGAATTGTCCATGAAATGATTTGTTTACTGTACTGATTGAAACGACATGAAAGATCATTGAAACTAATGAAAATAACGATTTCACCAATCGACACAAATTGATCAGCAGAGCTCGACAAATTAATCTGTACATTTATTAGATTTAATCAGAATGGTAAATACAGTTAATTCTAAGTTATTGACGGCACACATGGCATCAAGAATGGTAGGAGAGATCCCTTCTAAAGCATTAAACTTATTTAAATATTATCTCTGATAAATTTGGAGTGATGGTTTGACAAATTAACACCAACTCTTTTCAAATTGAAAACAATATAATGATAGCATTATATTTACTTTAAAGCTTCACTTCAGTCGATTTGGCTTTAATTAATATTCTAAAAGTGGTGATAGTTAATGGCGGACAACAGATTTATGGTAAAGTTTTGACAGGTTGAATGGAATTAAGTGTTTCTACTAAATTTCAATAATTTGGAAACAATAGAGAATAATATGAAGTCGTTATCATGTCAACTATTACTTGAAAATCGTGGGAGAAATATTCTCTATTAATAAAATCATTATAGGATAGGCTAGAACTAATTATATTACAAAGAATGAAATGTGTGGTAGGTCTATAACTAAAAATTACAAGCCTAATTCCAAGACATGTTTGAAATAAAATTATTTGTAAAATTATAGAGTTTATTATGACATATTTCCACTCATTGTATATATCGATTCATATTATTTTTCTTTTTATTATTTTTTTTAATGTTTAAAATACAAAGTATGAACGGAAAACACCAATTTTAACATGCTAATTGTCATAGTTAATGTTTAAAGTCCTTATTTCATCAAGAAATGTCTTCAAGAATAATCATATCCAGAATATAAATTGTCTTCAAATATTTTGTGAATGGGAAAAATTCAATCATGAGATAAAATTCCTTGTTAGTTATTTATTTATAAATTATATGTAATATAATATATAAACCATAGACTGATAGAAACACACCCAATAATATCTGTTAGCCACAATAGAGGCTGGACATAGTACATAGAGCTTACATAAATGACGAGTTAACGTACAGACTAGCCAAGTTAATTGACCAGAATATCTTATTCATATAGGAGAATTTTGAACCAATTACATGGGTCATGGAATTCATGTATTTATATTTTCTTATTCATAAAAACCGTACAAATGTTTTATTTTTCGTCTATATTCTGTGTTTTATATTCATTTTATACCTACTTTATGGTCGAAGATATGAGATTTTCACCCATAAACAAGTTCATTATTTTTCTTCAAAACATCATATTTCCCCTCTTTTAATTGCTCTGATATTTCGTGTCAGATTTTTTTTTTTTTTTTCATTTTTTTTTCGTTTCGGAATATATCTTACATCATTTAACAAGAGTTATATTTTCAAAACACAAACTTTACTGCATGCCATAATTTCATATTATAATGAAAACAAATTGAAATTTCTTAAAAATATTCCTGATTTGAAAATCTGATAACAGTAACGAATTTAAAAAAAAAATTAAAAAAAAGATTCTAACAATATTTTTTCAGTCAAGGGAAATAATCCTGAAAGTTTTCATGAAATAAATCATTTGTTTTATTTTTAAAAATGATACTATAAAAATAGTTGGATAATTTGTGTGAGTGAATAATTTAATCATTGTACCAGTTCGCGGAGAATTGGTAACAAATTAAGATGGATATGAATATTTTTAATATTAGTTAAATAAAAGTTCTTACCATAATCATTAGTAAAACTGATCTGAATATGTATATCTTAATAAATACACCGAATGATCAATATTAGCATTGTAAATATATAGTTAATATATATTTTATTTCTGAGATATATTTGTCATAAATTCCGCTATTATTATTATTATTATTACTATTCGCAGTATTCTCGCTGTATTATCTTGTTAGTCATTGATTGATGACATATCATTTCTATATTGAGGCCAATCTATTTTTTTAAACAATAAAAACAGCGCAGAGAATTCGTTGATGTTCAGTTTATGCCAATTCCATATCCCATAAAATATGTAAATATATTTTAATGGTTACTGCCGTGATATATCACTCTTAATACACAGTAAATACTCTTTTATGAACAATAAAATGTCATGTGACCTAATCTAAATATTATTCATTAAGAAATATATGTAAGTTTATTACAAGACTTTGACACCATTATGATTCCAATTCACTTCAGAAATTCTGGATCTACCGCACTTGCTGATAAATCTGGTAAAAACACCATTGTATAAACAGTAAGAAC